CATCTGCCATTCTGAATCAGCAGCATTACACACTGCTCTGCTGAGGTTTGTTATGGCCCTGCGTGGTATGTACTCAACATCTTATTCTATGTATTTATACATAAAACACACAAAAGTCTGGCCTGAGATTTGAATGTTTTGTCAGACATCATTTTTTGTTCTAACATTACAATAACATGAAAACGTGTCTGGAAAACACATTGAAAAAATGAAGAAATTGGACCTGAAAATGTCACTTTATTTATCCCACAAAGCCTCTCCATCTATCTCTCTCTCTTATTCTCTAATCCCCATTGGGTGAGACATTGGGCACACGGATCCTATCACATCAGGGGGAGATTAAACAAGAGTGTCACAATGACATAGTGAGTTTGATAATGGGAACAATAGAGGCTCTTTCAATTACAGCTCTTTCTCTAGAGAAATCTGTTAAAAGGGAAATTCCTCCAATAACTTTGTCCTGTTTCTGTTTATTCATTTTGACATTTAAATCCATCCTTCTTTAACCTTCTTGCAGACTAAATTCAATAGTTCTCTAACGTGCTCCATCAAGATAAGATGGCACTGAATCACCTCTGCTAAGAGCTTTTTTAGACTGTGTAATTAGTGAAGACAGAGGCTGAACAATAGAAGTTTGGATTTGTTGATGACATGTTTGAAAAGGACATGGAGGATGCTGAGAATGTTATGCCAAGTGAAATTATTTTAGTAAACCTGAACACTACCTGCTGTGGGTATTTAGCCTTTTTCAGCCTTATTTTCAAAGTAGACTAGAAACTATTAGTCAAATGATCAATTTGATTGACAGCATCTGTTTGGATAATTGATTAACCTTCTTAGACCTATACAATATACCCATTTTTAAATATGAAATAAACCATGTGTCTTGGTTAGGCTAGGTACCTTTGATGGTGTATGGGGGCTGAGAACATCATGGCGGAAGTATATGATGGCCATCACCATGCCGAATTATGTCTCATACGCTGTTGCAGAAGTTTTAGAGTTGATGTGCATTTTTGATGACTTGAGATTTAATAAAAATATCAGAAAAAAATCCCATGGTGAGCACCTCTGTTGTGGAAACTGCTGAGAAACTCTCTTATTGTCAATATACCTCTGAAAACCACACATCCTCTGAATGCTCAAGGTTTCTAGTTTGTGGTTGTACAGATTCATAAGGATGTGATTATTCAACATTTCACAATAGGTCATTTTATACAGTGAGGTCTGATTTAAAAAATGTTGTCACTACTACTATGGTGACTACAATCATGACACATAAATAAAATCGGGCTTATTGAACCCAAAAACTCGTCTTTTCAGTCAGAAAAGACTGTATACATGACTGAATACATCTCTACTCCATGCAAAAGCTGCATGGTTTCTGCCCCAAACTGCATGGGCCCAACATTAAATGAGTTTATCATTAAATGAGAGACTTGAGGGTATCCATAGAAACCAATTTTCATTCAGATAGCTCCCTCTGAAAGACAGTGATGTCGGTGGAAATCGCTTGTGGTCCCATGGGTCTCATAGGGTTAATTGTCGAAGGCATTTTTCAAGCAACAATGTCAAACACTCTCTGTTCCAGCTTCTCAGTTGTCAGGGTTTGTGGTTTTTCTTTGTCATATATCGTGGTAGAACTTCTTAGGCTTTTGGACTGTTGTCAGCCAAAACAAGCAATTTCAAGACAAGACTGGCTTTTGGCATTTGTGATGGCCAATTTTCTATCATTTCTTACATTTTATAGATCAAATGATTAAAGTAAAAGTTGGAACTTTTGGGGCTTACTTGGCTTGTTGCCAAGAGTTTGATGAGAAGATTGATACCACTCACATTTTTGTTGGGTAAATTTAAGGTGTTCTCTTCGTGACGGGGAGCAAACAGGGTTTATGGTAATGTCTTTGAAATGTTCTAAAAACTCTTGCACTGACAATACAAGTGGTGTAAAAGGCTACTGTCACCAGTCCTCACAGTCAGCTCTGTTATTTATGTCAACCACTGGCTTTACATTGTCATTTTGATGTATAAAAATGCTACATATAGCATCTTAAACAGATACATTACGGTGCTAAGCTATTCACTTGTGTTTTATTGGGTGTCACTGCAGGTCCTACGGATCCGCTAGTGTCGCTGTGATTAATGGGCATCCTGAATGTGCCTAAACAGCATCCTCGCAGACATATCTCTGCTATTCTCAGTGAGTCAGTTGTCAGCGGTCTTGAGCAGCACCTTGTCAAGTCTGATTTCCTCTCCAGTTGGGTCCCTGAAGCCAGAGGGCCAGCTGCTTCCAACTTTCGGGCCTGTTATCTACTGAGCCCCTCTCTATTGCCTTTGGCTGCCCTCCGGTCGTCTGTCTGGCCTCAGATTTAGTCAAACCACGGCTAGTTTACAGATAATTATCAGGCTGAGGCCAGCTGTGTGGCACGCATCCACAGGCCCTTTGTTGCTAATTGAATTAGACCCCATGCTGGAAGTGACAGAGAAATGAACAGTTTCCCCCAGCGAGCCATGTGATTAGCAGACTTGGAGAGGGGAGGTCGGCTCAGGATGACACGCTGGAGTATGTGGTCGATGTCTGCGACTCAATGTCTGAGCCACGTTCGCCCTGATACCCATGTTTCTGTCAGGTTTCATTTTATGACGCATGTCAATGGAGGTCAAGTACAACAGACAGTCAAGCAGGGGACTGATGCCAGGCTTTCTACGTGAGGTAAAGAGCCCAAAAATGTTTGTTTATTGTTCCGTCTGCCATCTGCTTTACAACTTATCGTCTAGATAGATATACAACCTGCAGCAGCTTTGGTTTTTAAGAGTCGTCATAAAAAATGCTATAAATAAACCACTTTCCCCATGAATATAGTATTTATTATGGTCGCAGCTTTCACAATTTTAACTAAATCATAAACACACACACACTGTCCATGCATTGCCATATAGTTTCCATTCATTTCCAAGTCATCAAGAATGGCCAAAGTGAAATGATAGTTTGCACATCTCCACTCTTGTCCTTGATCTCAACTCCCATTTGTCTCTGCCCTTCACTGGCCCTTGTCTTTTTTTATTGCTGTCATCCTTTCAGGTCCTCTTCTGAAGTTGGGTATTTCTGTCACAAAAATGCTAAATTAGCAGCATGACTGCATGTTAAAATGAAGCAGAGGGACTATTTTTACCCGACAATGTAAATTTGTATAACCTCAATATTTTGTTGGCATTTTTATTATAGGAAGAAATATAAAAACCTCATAAAATTCACAGCATCCGCAGCTGCTATTAAACTCTGCCAACTGGATCATGCGAGGAGGGAAAGAATTGACATCTCTGAAGGAAAAAAAGAAAACTAATAACAGTCAACTTTTCTGTCTTTCCTGGAGGCCCTTTAACTTTGTGAGGGTGTGAGTTTAGCTTCTGTACTTGGGAGTAAATGTACAGTATAATCAAACCTTTCTGCTGTGCACTCACTTTGATTCTTTTCGCCCGTCTGTACATTTGCATGCCTACAGTGTGAGATGTTTGCCAGAGCATAAGTCTCACTGTGCTGTAGAAAGTAGGCCATTTGGGCTGATGGCTGACACAGGTCCTGTGTGACGCTCGCTGACTCTGGAGCTCTCAAAGGTTTATTTCTGGACATTGAGCGCATCATCTGTTAACTTTGTTTGCCTGATAAACCTCTTCGTGACTTTACCGGTCTGAGATTAGCATCTGTCTTTTTTTCCACACAGCATTGTGGGACGGTTATGTAAGTCCATGATGTCGTACTACGCCTTCAGTGGCTCGGTACTCTGATTGGTACGCTGTTATGAAATGTGACACAAGTTATTTGGTTGTCATCTTAATTATTCATACACACCTCTGTTGGATGTGAAAATTGGGTTGTTGTGCTCTGCTGCGCAACAAATCTTTCATTCTCTCAGAATAAAGCTGAATAATATGAGAATGTTGTGGAAATAGTGTCAGACCTATGTGAATATGAGCTGTGGATAAAACACTTTCTATTATTTATTGTTTACTGTTTTTAGTCCCCTATTCATAATTTATACTGTTGTACATTTGCTCTGTAGTCTTTCCAAGATGTACTTCATATGTAATTTCTCTCTCTCTCTGGTAACATTTTGTTTGCTTTATTGGATTGGCCTTTAAAAGATTTTTTTGTCTGCCTCATACGTCACCGTATTTTCTACATGTTACATGTGCCCTCCTCTCCAAACAAACTATGTGGATTTATTCATCTCTCCTCTTCTCTGTCTCTGTCTCTCTCCCCCTCGCCATGTGCGTATTACAAGATGCTGTTTTGTGCCGGTGTGCCACAGAGACCATGCATGAAATTTATTGGCCCCGAGTCCCGCCATTTGACACGCAAGACGTGGCTAACAGATCTTGTGCCATTTCCCATCTCCTCCGGCTCCCGTGTAAGGCTGACCTTTCCTGCCTCCAGGCTATATTTAAACTCTGGGCACCAGAGACTTATGACGCCACGGGAAATTTTATTATCAACGCTCTCCATTTGTCTGACTAAATTCAGGCTTGCCATAGATCGTGCCAAAGTATGTCGTATATTTACGCTCTGCAACGGCAAACAAGGGCAACGGTGACAAACCCGGCCATCAATGCCTTAGCGGGGGTGATGCCTGGTGAAGCATTCCTTTGAACTGCTCTGAGGACCAGACTGCGAGATGATGGGTTCTATTTACAGTGCACATCACCTGTGGAAAAGTGTGAAAAGAATAAAGTAAAAGGGCTGCTGTATTATTCTGTGAAGCAGAGGGTTGACCAGAGAGGCAAACACAAAGGGACTTGACATTTTGAAGAATCTCAGCTGGTAAAATGCCATAGATTTCAGCCACAGACACATTCATCAGCCTTTACTGTTGGTCGTCATTAGAGCAGACAGCAGGCTGAATGAACACACATCCACACATGCACTTATTCTTTCTCAAACTCCTGCACAGCCACCTGCTTAACCATTCACTGACACTCTCTTTTTCTCTGTTCCCTGGCAGGTCTGAGATGGGAGTTCAGAGGGTGCTCCAGGTGGATCTGAAAATGGAAAGCTTTCCAGAGCCGCTGGGCAGCCGCTGGATGGCCTGGCAGGTGGAGTACCCGGCCAGTCGTGCCGCCACACAAGAGGCTGAGACGGAGATCCAACTGGCGCAGGAGGACCTGGCGGGCATCGTGCCCCTGGCCATGGTGAGTGATGCCACTTCCAGCTCAGTGCCACACCCAGATAGATGGCTGCACTCTGATCACTCTGAATGTGAAAGAAGGACCACCATATTCTTTTAATTTTACACTTTGAATCGACATCTGCAGATGTTTTCTTTCAGAACATGAATGAAATAATTTGCATTGAAAATGGCTGAGAATCGCTGCACTTTTGATCATGAGTGGTGGCAGGCTGAGGGAGAAAGATTAAAGTATCCAAGAGCTGGTCACACGTGTTGTACAGATCTTCAGTAAAGAATTTAGTAACATAAACATTTGAATAGCAAGCAGGATATTTGCTTTTTGATCTTGTGGAGTAAATGTTGCTAAGTTCCCTGACATTGAAATGCTATTGATAACAGCATATTTAGAGTAATAAAATGCTGACATGGCCACAACACTGCTACAAATGTGTGTGTGGCATTGTTTGACATCAGATGCTGCTAACCAGTAGTGAGAAGTAGTGAAAGAACATGTACACAGGTAATGAGTAATATAAGTGTAATTTAAGATTCTGGGACACAAGAGGGGATAATTTTCATTTTATTAAAGGAACAGTGTGTAGAATTTAGTAGCATCATTTAGTGTTTTGTCCATTTTGTACTACTATAGAAACATGGAAGTGCAGCATCACAGACTGTGCAGATGAGGACCTGCTCCCTAGATACAAACAAAAACAGAATTCTTATTTGTAGGTGATTATACACTAAGGACAACATACTTATTACATCATAGGGGTGTAAATCACCAGTCTCATCGCAGTATGATATTATATCAATTCTTTGGAAAACGATACGATATTTGCCGATATTACAAAGTCTGCCACGATACAATTTCGATTTGATACAGTTTAGGGGCCTGCGATCGATATGAGGTGATATTATCTACCCATATAACACAATCAGTTACAAAAGGAGCTGCCACCCCTTTCTTTTTTGACTTGTGTCCATAAAAGATAAAAACAACACATAAATAAGTATTTACTTTTAACCGACTCCACGAACACAAATAAAACAGTACATGGGATAAGTTAACCTTCAGGGCTTTCTACCAGAAAGAAAGAAAGAAATCTTTACATTTTAAACCAAACCATCATCTTTTTCCTAAAATGTCAGGTCTATCTGGCCTAAAACCCTGACGGCAAACTTCTCCCAACAGCTATAAAACATGGATTAACAACAACATCATTTAACATAAGTATCGAATTCAGCTCAGTAGTAACTGTCAAGGTTCATCGACAAAACAATTTTTTTGTTTTTTTGCTAGTGACCCATTATTAGCTCTAGCGTGTTGTTTACATTGCATGAATTAGCAGCTATTGAACTTTTTTATCCTCTACTCATAGCTTAACAAATTACCTGTGGTACTGTTATTTTTCTTACTTACCATTGGTTAGGGTTAGGGTAAGTCACTGCATCTCCCGACAGAACAGCTAGTTTGAATATCAGTCTGCATGCACGTTTTCTTCAGCCAAACATTGTTGAAACAGAGCAGCTAATATTGCTGTAGTGAGAAGTCCAAATATTCGAAATCCAAAGTATTTCCACATGGCTGATGTATTCCCGAGTAAATTAACGTTATCCCCATCATCTTTCTCTTGGCTGCTTGCCATCTGCCTGCTGCTGTTTGACAGTGACTCAGACATTCAAAATAAAAGCGTATCCTAAAGATGATGATATAGATCAATGTCACTGTGAATCGATGATACTGGATCATTGATCACCGAAAAGATCGTTACACCTCTATTACCCCATATTCCATTTTTGACTATATATCTCCTGAAATCCTACACACTGGACCTTTAACTCTGACAGCTATGGTAACCACTCTGTCAGATTAGGATTTCACAAATCCTAATCTGACAAATCCTAATTTTATAAAATCCAATTTATTATAGTACTTTACAAAGAACAGTAGACCAGAGTGCATGCTGGTCCCTTACCCCCCTGCCTATGTGAACCTGTGTGGTGCTACCCAAAACAAAACAAAAAACAAGCAAAAGAAAATGCTGTCCAAAAATAGAGAAATATCCAGAATGAATAAAACACCCAAACCAATTATGAATACCTCCTACACCAGTACACCATACATAAAATAAATTACAGTTAGTTCTCCCATGACCAGCTACAACATTAATATGCTGCATTCATGCCACTACATGAGTGATAATAATCCAACCATATAATACGTACACAGTAACACTCTAAAAGGGGCACGTCTTTGTAATTACATCTCTCATATTTACAGTGTAATTTGCTGATATTAACATTCACTTAAATCCACTTGTGATGGCAGGACTTCTACATGTGACAGAATGCTTTTACTTAAGTAAAGGGTCTAAATATGTCCTTTACTCACTGCTGCTTAGGTAAGGAAGTGAGAGCTATAACGAAGGTCTTTGCCTGCAGACTGTGTTTAGGAGCGGGGCATGAAGAGAGCGTCTGCAGCTCCCAGCAGGCCTCAGATGGGATCCAGAGTCTGGCTCTGGCCTGAGGGTATGCCTGGAGCTGTGTGTCTCCCTCAGCGAGGCGCAGGTACTCTGTTGTGTAGATTAACCAAAGCTCCCCCTATAGAACTTCACATAGAGAGCTTTATTCAGCGACCCATAGCGCACCGCTTCTGATTTAGATCAGAACATTCAGGTGAAACAAATGAGTGACATCAATTTATGTTGACTAAAATGGCATTCATTTCTATTTCAGTGCTTCTGATCTGCATGATACAGACCTGACTGTTGTGTTAGTGTTATTCTCTAAGTATTGCCCGTAGCTGTGTAGATGATAGATGCATGTGGGTGGCTGTTCCTGGATTCAGAGGAATACGGCGCATCTCACCCACTGATCCATTCTCAGGATAATTGAAGCAATGTTTAATGCTGCAGTATTGTTCGAGTTCCTTCTTTCACATCCTTTTCATGTCACTGATGTACCAACAGCCTGCTTTCCTTGCTCTAGGAAAATAAAGTTGGCTCTCACACCTTCCTCTGACTAAAGATGATTTGCATGATTATCTTGCAAAGTCTCTACTTATAGACCCCTTAATGTATAGGCTTACCAGGGCTTAAGTCCCAGACCCTGGACTACCAGGGGCCTTGTGAGACAGGAGCTTTAAAACTGTTTAAATATATTCTAAATTACATTATTAAATAATAGCAACGTCACTATGAACAATATTGGGCCAGGGACGTTACAGAGGTTTCCTGTGCAGTCTGACTCACCGGATGTAGACTGGGGCTAAAAGTCTGCCACTGGCTGATTTAGGCTGACATTTGTCCCTCCTTCTGCATGTTATCGTTCCAAATCACCTTCGCAACAGGAAACAACAACAACCTCTGAGCTAACAACCTACATCCTGAAAATGGCAAGTTTTAACAATGTTCTATCTCACACAGACTCTGCCCTCTACCGGACTCCATGGGTAATAGCCCGCCAGTCAGGACGTGCCTTTCCACAGTATATATACGTATATATACAGTAGGAGCTGTATGACGGCATCACCATCCTTTTTCTCTTCAGGGATGGTGATTACCCATTGTCTTTTGACCCTGTATGGTTAAGCCATGACTCCACCCACTTTGGTTGCATACTGCCTGGTTTAGCTGGGGCCTCCTACTTTTCCAAAGCAGCCTAGGTTATAAAGAAGTAGGTGGGTTAGGGTGACTAACCTTAGCTGGTCAGGATCAGTATGGCTTGGTCAATGTTATGTTGTGATAGGGCGTTCGTTCATTGGGCGCCACCCACTGTAACAATAGATTCCAGTAAGGACTGGAGCCTGTGTGAGAAGAGGAGGGTCCATAATGGATGCTGAGACTGAGAGACAGCCCCTATTTATACTCTGGCCTCAGCAAGTATTGGGGCAGGCACGTCTTGACTGGCCAGCTACTATTTGTGTATGCATATTTCAGTAGGCGAATGCATGCTTGTGATTGGAGGAGAGTGTTGTTCCTAGAGTGCAGTAGAGGGCTAAGCCTTTGCAATTAACCTTTGATTTGGATCCTGCAATAAGGTGTGCCTGCTTTGTTGTTGAGGTGAATTTTTATAAAGAGCTGCAGCAAATTAAACAACCTCTGAATGCCTAGACTCTAATGTCTGACGTTGATCCATTTTCTTAAACAGCCAGTTTTATCAATAAAAGTTAAATCACACATTCCACATTAATACATACCCCTGTTACTGTTTTTTTGTGTCATTTTCTTTTAGGCATTTTATTGCATTTTATTGTTTGCCGCCCCACAAGCAAATGTTCCACCTAAACAAGTCTGCCCACCCCAACACTATTTTGCACTGTTGCTGCATCCTGGGTTCAGCGATCCCCAAAGGCGATGTGATTGGTTTAAAGAAATACAAACAAACCAAAGCATTTAAATCCATATAGCAGAATGATAATGTGTTTTTCCAGACCATTCTCTTACACGGACACAGCGCTGTGAGGATAGGTCTGGTTGCACGAGACTACCTGTGCATAGCTTTGATTATCAGTGCCCTGTAGTGTAGAACACTAATGTAGGCATATATCCTAACCTGCTCTGATTCCCAGGTCATCAAATATCAACACTCTGTCATACCCTTGGGATTCTCATTGTAACGCATAGGGCACCATTTAGTGTATCAATGTCACACACACTTGAACACACATTGTAACATGTGCTTGATGTTGTGAAACGATCGTGGTTAGGTTCAGGCAATAAAACTACTTTGTTTGGTTTTGAGAAACGATCATGTTTTGGGTTAAAATAAGTATGTTTGTTACGTAACGTGATGAGTTAGTGAGCTACGACCCATATATGCATAATGTTACATTAAAACAACACTGCCTTTGAGTTTCACATGGGACGTAGATACATAGGTGACATTTACTTTTATTTTTACACAGGACACAAACTGTGGTCTCCTGGGTAAGACCTATCCACTGCCCCTCCCTCCCATGCTACGCAAGCTTTATTCAATGTTAATTGCCCTCAGTATCAACTATTGCCATTTACATAG